TGGCAGTAGAGGTCCTCTTATCTTCCTTTGTGCTCCTCCAAAGCAAACATAAAGACAAAGATAAGAGTGCAAGAATCTCTTAAAGAAACCAGAAGAACTGTGTATATGCAAGCATTTAATGTAACCATAGAGTCTTCTGTGTTTATTATCATGGTCTTTTTGTTGATACTCCTGTTTCAAAACGCCTGAGACTGGATAATTTATGAAGGATAGAGAGACTTATTTCCTCACGGTCTAGAAACTGGGAAGTCAAAGATCCGGTGATAGCATCTGGTCATAGCCTCTTTGCTCAATCATAATGAGTGACAGAGAATAAAAGAGGGAGGGAGGAAGGAGAAAGATACATACATACATACAGACAGACACACGCACACACACATACACTAGAGAGACAGAGACAGACAGACACACACAGAGGGTGAGGGAGGGGGGAGAGTAACTCCTTTATTAGAAAATCTACTTTCATGATACTACCATTAGCCCATTTGTGAAGGTAGAGTCAATATGACTCAGTCACCACTGGAAGGGTCTACATTGACAGCATTGGGCATCAATTAACACTGTGGACCAAAACAAACAAAACAAACAAACAAAAACAAAAAATGTATCATTTTTCTCAGTTCTCAAAACTGATTATCCTTATCTCATGGGAAATATATTTATTTCACTGAATGAAAACCCTACAAATCTGAGTTTAATCTAAACAGGTAAGACATGGCATGGGTCCTCCTGTAGTAGTAGGTCCCCTGACTATGATGAACTTGTGAAATCAGCATGGACAACGTATTTCAGAGACATCATGGCGAGGAAGTCATCAGTAGATACTATGATTCCAACATTAAGAAATAGGAAAAGAGAAATTAGTAACATACTCATGTAAGGCCAACATCCAACAGGACAAATTATACTACAGCTAGAATAATCTAGAGTTTAGTGACCCTCAAGTGGGAAATCTGCCCCCTTAAGTAGAGATTTGTACAGCAGACCCCATGCTTAAAATCTTGTGCCAGGCTGGGTTGTATACCAGCATACCTACATAGAGTTCTGGGGTCTTTGTGAGGTATGGCTTCACTGGGAATTAGCCTAGTGGGCATTGACTGTTTTGCCTCTAACTCTGGGATATTAGTTTTTTTTTTTGAGACAGAGTTTCTCTGTATTGTTTTAGAGGCTGCTCTGTAGATCAGTCTGGCCTCAAACTCACAGAAATCCCCCTGCCTCTGCCTCCCGAGTGCTGGGATTAAAGGCGTGCGCCACCAATGCCCGGCTATTAAGTGCTTTTAACCATTTGCTTACTCTCTGTAGCTTGAATGTTCCCCCAAAACCCACATGCTGATGAAGGGTTGGTCCGTCACCCATGGTTCTCTTTTGAGGTGGCAGAATCTTTAGGAATCAGAGCCTAATAGAAGGAAGTTAGACCACTGGGTGTATGTCCTTCGTGGGGATGGATATTGGTACTCTGTTTCCCCCTCTACTTATCTTTGTTCTGATAATTTTCTGTCTCATCAGAGTCCCAAAAGAAACACAGCCCTGTCACAAATGGCCTGAAGCCTGTGAAATCATCAAAGCAAACATTTTCTTTTTATGGGTAATTTGTTACAGGAATGGAAAGGAAAGTTAGCCAGTACTAATTCACTATCCTTTTCTTTTTAAAATTTAATCTTCTGTGTATTACATTTAAGACATGTATCTTTTATGAAAAATAACATCTAGTAATATTTTAAATATATATATTATGATGAACTTCTTATCTCAGTTTGATTATTTAGTCTCTATAAAATAAATGCAACTATTGATATAGTTGATCTTCTAGTCTAATAACATTGACATTTTTATTTCCTTTCTTAACTAACCTGTTTTAGAGGGAAGCAAAGGCAGCAGAAGCTTGAAGCAAATGGTCACTTTGCATCCATGGTCAAGAAGCAGGGGGTAATGGACGGACAGTAGTACTCAGATCCCCTACTTCACTTTATACATGCTCTCCTTTAGTCCCTTCACAAATAAGATGTTTCTTCTCATGTTAATTAACATAATAAAATAGTTCTCTACAGGCAAGAGTAGAGTCCTTTTACATAGTGATTTCCTTTGAATTGAAACATACCTGGAAGGAGGAAGGAGGTTCACATGACTCAAGAAGGGACAAACTTAGGTGTCCCTAAGAACTGAAAATTAACAATATATAAAGCCCCTCTTCAAGGAGCATTCAACAAGTACTGGGAAGAGCAACCTATCTGATCTGGGAAGGCAGAGGCTAGTGGATTACTGAGCTTGAGGCCAGCCTGGTCTAACCATTGAAAACAGAAACGTGGTGAAGATATAATTGAAAAGGGGGAGGCCATGTTCTAGCCTTAAAGCAGCAAAATTTGACAGCTTTGGCCATGTGGTTCTGGAGTTAAGGATAGAATGCAGGGGTTATGGAATCTTCCTCTGTGACTAAGCCAAGAGTGTCAGGGGTGTCCCTGAATGGAGTACCAGAGAGGCCATTGTGTGAAGCTGTGAAGTTGAAACCTGGATTTCCTTGGAGAACCCAAGAAAATGGAGATGCCAGAGTCATGGGCTTCTTGCTAGAAGAGCTGCTAACAGGCGTGGAGCAAGCCCAAGAGAAAGAAAGAAGTTGCCTGCAACAAAGCTAAAAGGGGTTGGAGAGCTGAAGAGCACTTTGACATTAGACATGGAGTTTGCGCCGCTGGTTTTCTGTCTTCCCTTGGTTCAGTACTTCCTCACTATGCTCTCTTCCCTATGTTTTGGAATGGCAATTATATCCTGTACCACTGTGTATTGGAAGTATGTGATCTTCTCTGTTTTTATTTTTATTGTATAGGGAATTGTGGTTAAGAGAGAACATGAGTCTCAGAAGAAACTAAGCATTGTTGAGACTGTAATAGACTCTGGGGACTCTAGAAGTTGAACTACCTGTATTTGGCACTATATTGTTACAAACTTATGGGGGTCAGGGAGTGGAATATTATAGTTTGAATGCAATTGGCCCCCATCAGTTTATAGGGAGTAGCACTATTAAGAGGTGTGACTTTGTTGTAGTAGGTGTGACCTTGTTGGAGGAAGTGTGTCTGTGGAGGCAGATTTTGGGGTCTCATATATGCTCAAGCCATGCCCAGTGAGACAGGGCAGCTCTTGTTCCTTGCAGGATGTAGGACTCTCAGCTCCTTCTCCAGCATCATGTCTGCCTGCATGCTGCCATGTCCCATCATGATGATAATGGACTAAACCTTTGAAAATGTAAGCCACCCCAATTAAAAGATTTCCTTTATAAAAATTGCCATGATCATGATGCGTCTTCACAGCAATAGAAACCGTAACTAAGACAATACTCTACTTCAAGGCCAAGGGCTTTTCTCTGGGGTGGGAAGAGTAGAAAATATTTTAAGAGTCACAGGCAGGGGATGACTTCAAGAAAGCAGTATTTTCTGGTCACAGCAAGAGAGTTGCACATATGAACTCATAGTGATTATAACAGCATGCATAAAAGCTGCACAAATGCAGGTCAGAAAAATAATCCCAGCATGGAAGGGAGAAAGTGAGTACAAAATCCTATGTCTAACTGAGGCTATATTAGCATTTGATAGCTGTTGTGAGAGGCAGTCTTAGTTTCCTTCAATTATGACCCCCACAATAAGTTAACCCCACTCTAGGGCCAAATCTAAGAGTAGTTGACTAACACAAACTGGAATCAGTGGATTTAAGGAGAGATTGAGAAAGAAAGAAAACAAGACAGAGAAGGGAGTGATAGAGTAAGGAATGGAGATGACAGAAAGAGAGATGATAGAGTTAGAGATGACAGAGCTAGAGGTGGAGATGATATGAGATGATAGAGAGGTTATCTTCCCCCTCCTCTCTCTCTCTCTCTATATATATATATATATGTGTGTGTATATATATATATGTGTGTGTGTGTGTGTGTGTATAATAGAAATATTGTTAGATAAAACATAAAGTTGGGTAGGTAGGGAGGTGTTGGAGTAATTGGAGGAGGGGAATGAATATGATTAGAATATATTGATTGCATTTTTAAAAAGTTAATTGAAGAATTATTAAAAATATACAATGTACACCAGTTTTCTTTAAGAGAAAGAAGGCAGCATTTTACTTTTCCTACTGTGGCTAAAATCTAAATTCCCAAGAAGTCCACTGACATTGGTGCAACTGAGCCAGGAAACAGCACATGTTGAGATGTGCTAGCAGCCCCTGTAGAGATTTACCATTTTTCCTGTAAGCATATACAATATTTTTTCTATAATTTGAAACAAATTAAACTATATGACATCCTTGCTTTGCATGGACTCTTTATGAGCCTCATTTGGCCCCTCTCTTTCTGGTCTGTGGAGCAGTGCTCCTCCGTCATTGCTCCTTCCTGTTCCCTTTGAACAGTTTCTCTACCGCTGTGATCTCTGCCTGGAACCTTCCTTTCAAAGTGCAGTTTCTTCCTTGGCCTGCTTCTCCCTTCCCCTTCCAAATTTGCCGTGTCCACACTTCCTGACCTGGGAGTTTCCAACATCCATATTTGATCTTTTAGATCCTGGACATCAGCTCATTTTCATGCTACCTCCAGAAGAGGTGTTCACCTCATTTCTCTTTTGAAAGCAATTCCCATAGACTTTAATCCGCAAAAGACTGGAGATGTCACATTTTACCATTAAGCATAGATCACTGTGGTTGGTTTTCTAGGAAGGATGTATTCCTCAGGCTCTTAAAATGAAATGGGATGTTAAGATCAAACAACCTTAGAGTACTAGAGAGGTTATTGTGTATAGGAAGGATGAAGCCCTACAGATCTTTTGTGGTGACACTTAAAGTGGCATTTTCATGTTGCTAACATAAGAAGTTGTTTCCATAATGGAATCTTATGGACATGTAAATGTGCTAAACTTGTTAGAGGAAATGTTCCAACATGGCGGTTGTATCCCTATAGAAATTATCATTAGACATGCTAATGCGTATGAATTTTGCATGCAGCTTGCTTCTCTCTGACCAGTACAGTCACTTACCTGTGATGGCCAACTGAGTCACAAAGAAGGTCATTCTGGACTTTCTTTTCCTTCTCCACGTGGAGAACAGCACAACAGAGTTTCCCACGATGGTGAAAACAAACAGGACCCACAGGGTTATCAGCTGTTCTGTCTGCAAGAAACAGAGTAGCTTGAAACAGAGCAGATGAGGGGCAGGGGCTTCTCAGGATGGATGATGCAGACACCTGCACTTGGAACTGGAATGTGGTTTTCTGGATCCTTCCTTACCCCCTGCCCCACCCCAGCCCTGGAAAGCTTGACTCCTTTACATAAGCAGTGGAGCAAATTGATGCAAATAAACATTCTTTTTCTTTGGCCAAGTAAGTTTAACTCTGTGTGAGAGGTGAGGGTGTATAAAAGAACTCTTCAGTCATGCAGATGCGAAAAGAAAGTGTTTAAAAATAGTTAGGCAAGTAAACCAAACTCTTCAATTTGGTGAACTATTGTGCAGCTATCAAAGTGATGAAGTGATGAAGACTTGGTGGTTACATTAAAAATGCTTGTAGTATAATACTTAAGTGGGAAAACACGATGAAAATTGTATAATGGGTATGATTACAACTTTGCAAAATTATACACATAGGGAAAGAAATAAAGTGCACTAAAATGTTAACAGTGGTTATTTTAGGTAGTATGATTATGGGTTATCTCTCTCTTTTTCCTTTGACAAATCTCATAAGATGGTAATATTAAAGTTCTGCTGAATAATGTATAGTTAATAAAAAGAAGAACAGGGATGCCACTCACTTAAAATGCCAAGTCCCTCAGAAGATTTTGTTTTGTTTTGTTTTATGAGGCAGGGTTTCTCTGTATTGTTTTGGAGTCTATCGGTCCAGCCCAGCCTCAAACTCACAGAGATCTGCCTGCCTCTGCCTCCGAGTGCCACCACCTCCCGGCCCCTGAGAAGATGTTTTGCATGACCACTTCGAATGAAGCATTTTATCTGCTTGACATCCGTAGCACAGAATAACAGAGGGACTGCAATAGGCTTGACTCAAAGTGAGATACAGTGCGAGACTTATGAGGAAAGAATGTGGGCCCAAAGGAATCCAGCGGAAGCCAGAAAGCAAAACCAAAACAGCCCAAGTGGTCCTCTAGGTGAGATCATTTTAAGAGTGAAACAGACCGTGACTGCAGCCCAAGAGCATCAAAAGCCCAAGTACTGATTAAATTCTGTGTGACAGGTAGCTAGGTGCTAGAGCTTTGCTGCTGGCGTAAGCATGAGCCAGAGATGTTGAGGGCAAGCATTTCTATTGCTGTGATTAGCCTCCGTTGTCGGTTGGTTTAAGTGAAGGAGATTCTCCTCCACAATGTGGGCAGACCTTGTGCAGTGAGTGGACGTTCAGTGGGATCATGTACTAGGAACCCGAAGAAAATAATCGCTTCATCAGAGCATTCAGTACACCTAACACGTTAGTCATCATGGTAGCCTATCCAACCTTAACTGTGCTCTGAACACTCACATTAAGTCACTGTTTGACACAATTATCTAACATAAAATCTATTTTATGAGAAAGTGTCAAGCATCATAAGAGAATTTTTGAAAATCACAGCAAACAATTGTTTCCTTTCGTGACAGCATGACTCCACTGATCTCCATGCTCCCTGTTCCCACCCAACATCACAAAAGAAAATCAAACTGCACATTACTAGCTGAGGAAAAATAAGTCCATATTCAAAATTCAAAGCACTGCTTATAGAGCTGGGGATTTGGCTCAGTGGTCAAGTGCTTGCTTAGCCTTGACAGCTGTGGGCCCTTAGCACCACACAAACACACAAAATATTATATTGAGTGCATGTTGTTTCACATACTATAAAGTATAAACCTCATGAGCTGAAACATCAACAAGCCACACACACATACCCCTCATAATTCTTTTACCAGACCTGTATTCTCTGTTTATACCAAGCTCAAACTTAACAGTATTCCTGTTTAAAATAGAAATTAATTCTAAGTTATATGATAACAGAAGAGCTAATTTTTATTAAAAAAATCATAACAATGCAGACCATAGCTTTTTTGAGCTTCCTTTCCATTTTAAACAAGTCCCTATTCCAAGGTAAATATCATGAAAATGCTTTTACTGTTAATTAGTATAAAAAACATGAGATGCATTATGACATTTTCAAATGAAATGGTTTTTGTTGAGTCCTCTCCTGCCATCTCTTTCATCTCCCTGACCCCACTTTTACCTTTCCTTCCCCAGACACCTGCTTCCCACTGTCATGTCCATGTGTCCCATTGATCTCCTGGCACTCGGCTCCCTAAACAGTTTCTTTCCCCCTCTCACTAGGACTCCTTTATGGTTTTCATAGCCAATGCCCACATTTAGACCTGCACACACAGTCAGACTGTATTAAAGGCCAGGCTTCCCAGCAGGGAGAAGGATCTGTGATATCTGTCTTTTTGTGTCTGGGTCAGCTCACGTTACATAATTCTTTCCAGATTCAACAGTTGTATTGAAATTTTCACGATTGTGTCTTACGTTAGTTTGTAAAAACCATGCTTTATGTATAGCAAAGCAATATACATCATGTTGAACTATACCAGGATGCTTTGCTATTGTTTTTCATTTCATTTATTTGCCTATCTAATAATTAAAGCTTTATTGTAAAGAATTTGCAAATAAAAACTGTTACACATTGAAATTAGGCAGATCCAAAGTCTGCACACCTCTGCGAACTTCTATCCAGTAGAGGGCCATTCTGAAGCAGGGGGACTTCACATGGGAGTTTATACTCACACTGTAATAATATACTTTTATGGTTTTGGTTTTTAGATTGCTTTTTTAAAAATAAAGGTTTTCATTATGCAGCTTTGGCTAGCCTGGAATTCAATATGTAGATCATGCTGGTCTTGACTCAAAGAGATCTGCCTGCCTCCACCACTCCTGTGTTAGGGTTAAAGGTATGCCCCACAACTCCCAGACTTATGATAATGCAGTTTTAAACAGAAGGAAATAGGGAACTATTTAAGGTTACAAAACCCCCTTCCCCAGAACAATAAAAAAAGACTTTTCCTAAGTTGGTCAATGCAAGAAATATACTCAGTGACTAGCCTTGTCTAGTTCCATTCCAGTCACTGACTGGATTTAAAAAGAAAGCCCAGATTTACAGTCAATGCATCAAATGCTGGATTCTTTAGGAGTGCAAAAATGGTTCTTGCTACTTCAAATACACAGAGAGATGAATTCACATATTCACCACAGTTGGTGGAAGCCATAACAGAGTTAAAACTAGGAAAAAAGCTTCCTATTTTCTTCAAGGCTTATGTGTCCCTTTCTTGATAGCCTTTCTAAACTTTTAGTTTACTCACATATATTTGTTTATAGCCACATTGGATCCTAGGCAAACATAGTTTTGATTATAGTGTATAACCTTCCAATTCTTTGAGAAATACATTATAAGCATGCATGAAAGAACAAATGCACAGTGTTATGATGTGTGTGTATTAGCTTGTTATTTACTATTGTCAACATATTCTACAACTTGCTTGTTTTACTCTGCAGGAGAAGCAACTACATAATAGTGAAATTTTCACACAGTACAATAAAATATTTCACTTAAAAATGTATTTATGGAAAGTAAAAGATGGTTCAGTGGGTAAAGGTATTTGTTTCCAAGCCTGGGAACCTGACTTAGACTTATGTGACCTGTGTGCTGGAAGAACAGAGCTGACTCCAACGAATTGTTTATACTCTCCACACAAGTGCTGTGACATATTTGCATTCAAATAGACATTCAATACATAAGCACATGCATACATTGCAAGCATACACATATACATACATCCACTAATGTATCAAAGTAGATTAATGGAGGGTGAGGGATGGTTCAGTGGGTTTTGTGGGGGGTTTTGTAAAAGCTATACACGGTGGTACATATCTATAATCTTAGCTCTGGGTAGATAGAGAGATCACTGGAGTTCACTGGTCAGAAAATGACAGTGAACTTACAGTTTTTTGAGACCAATTTCTTGCTAAACCTGGAAATGATCATTTAATACAGGCTTACCCTCTGGATAGAGACACCACATACTTGAGTCACAGAACATGGAGAAATCAAGGTGGTACTTACTTGGATGCTTCATCACTACTGACTGTTTCAGAAAAGTTTGTAAGAGCCAGAGATGCTGTGTAACTTCAAGGGGACCGTGTTTTTCTAGACCCAGCAGGACAGTTGTACATGTTCACTCATAGGAGTTGTGACAGTATATACAAAACTTACTCAAATTCAAGCTAGACAAAATTCCAGCATGCAAAGCAGATGGGGACATGGAATTCCACCATTATTTGAAAAGCTACTGAAATTTTATAGCTTTCAGGAGTATGGGTTCAGTGTTCTTTAAAGATATGACCTCTATAGGTCATCCACATGCCAGGGCAGGCTTCACTCTTAAGATTAGTCAGACAACAAAACCAGACTCAATGGGGCAGGTGAAAAGAAATCTCAAAGTGGGGATGGAAGGGAGTGGAGGGTACAGGTTATAGGTGCAGTTGGGAGAAGGGAGTAAATATGTTCAAAGTACATTGTATAAAATTTTCAGTCAGTTAATAAAAACGTTAAAATGTAAGGTGGAGAATAAAAATGATGTCAACCTCTGGCATGGAACACACACACACACACACACGTAAAAATAAAGCATTGAGATGTTCATAGGGGTATGGGAGTGGAGCACAGTGGAGTCCAATTGTCCAACTGTCTTACTTGCTCACTCCTGTAAGCATAACAGAACTTGGGCCCTGTGGTTGCCACATTAAATCGTAAGCCTCCCTGCCAGGTCACAAAGATGAAAGAAAGTTCTTAGGATATTCCTCAAGTCTCTACCGGTGTCAGAAGTCCAGAATAAATCTTGCTCTTCTGTGAATCCTAGAATGTATCAGGTAATATTTCAGGTCTCCATCCTAGATTTACAGACAGAGACCCATGCTTCTAGATAGATCAGGATCTTTGAAACATCGCATTGTGAAAGCAAAGGAGAGCAGACACTGGTAGTGGTGGTGGGGGGAGGGAGGCAGAACTGAGTGGGAGAACCACTGGGCTGATCTTTGCTATCTGAGAGGATGCAGGTAACCTATAATCTGCCTCCAATGTGCTTATCATTTCCCACTT